ACAGAGAATAATTTCATGGAGAAGAGAAAGCCACATCCATGACAGAGACTGAGGAGGAAAAGGGAACATTATATAGGGTGACAAGAGAGCCCCCTCTGAAGAGGTGACAACATGCAACCCTATCAGATCTGGAGGACAGTGTTCCAGGCGAAAGAAAAAGCCAATATACAGGATCTGCGGTAGTAATGGACTTAAAGAGGAAACTAAGGGAAATACCTACAGTGAAAATACAGCTTTTTATTTATTATTGTTATTGTTACTGTTGTTGTTGTTGTTTTGCAATGCTGGGGATCGACCACAGGGTCTGGAACAAAAATGCAATCTTTTGAAAGAAAGGGGCTATCAAGAGAAAATTTTCTTTACCTATAAAGGTAGCTTGAAAAATTTACAGCAAAAAACAGGCAAAAACTTGCATAGTAGAAGGAGTCCTTTAGGGACTTTATTCCAAGGAAATGAGACTTAAGAAATTCACAATTCACAAAGGAATAAATCCAAAGCTGAATATGGGCTGCTCATAACTTAGACAACATTGGTCCAGGAAGCTTGAGAGGTAGTGTGAAGGCCGGAGGTGTCCTTCAGCTAGTTTGCAAATAAAACACAATTGGAGCCAGGAAATGACTGACTTTGCCTACAGTCTCCTGTGCCTTACAGGAGGGGGGTGTTCTAACAAATGAACATCCTGGTATATGGGGAACAGACGCGTTGTTATCACAATGTCAAAAGGCAGAGGGAGCTTCCCAACACGCACTGTGACTGACGGGGCCTCGGCCGTGTGGAGGTGACTGGAGCAGGAGCTCCCTGACACAGCACAGCGGGGCTTCTTGCTCTTTTCCTTCCCACTGTTACACTTTTCCGGTCCTTGTCTTTTTTTTTTTTTTCTCAATGAAAAGTAATGCTAAAGGGAACAGGAACTGCTGTTACACCAACTGGGGTGACTGTCGGGTGACTGAACCAGAATTGTAGCTGGAGTCACACACGACTCGTGACAAGAAGGAAGATGGCATTTCCCCTTGTTCATCCGAGCACTCTGGGAAGTGGTCACAGGTCCTAAAGGTTAGAATGGCAGTTGGAGCGGCCCTACTCAGAAGCCTTGTGGGGAGGGTTGCACCTTCTCTCAGGACCTTATTTTCCTCCGTTTAAAGAGTGAGCAAGCCACTCTCTAGTGCTAACGTAAGTAGAGTTAAAAACACATGGGTGCACTGTGAATTAAAAAGGTCACTATTAAGAAAGTAAAGACATAACATACAGTGAGGGAGAAAGTATTGCAGTCAAGTAGCTAACAAGGGTGTAATATTCAAGAAGAATTCTTACAGATCAACAACAAAAGGACAACCCAATTAGTAAAAGGGCAAAGAACTCAAAGAGACATTTGTTTATAGAAGAAATACTGCCAACAACCACAGAAAGATGTTCATTAGTTCTTCAGGAAATGAAAATCAAACTCACAATAAGATATCATTTCATACCCATTGGAATGGATTTTTTAAAACTCACAGAAAATAACATTCTTTATTGTGCATATGGAAAAATTGAAACTCTCTTTCCTAATTGTTGGTATGTAAAATGGTACAGTGCCTGTGGAAACACTTTGGTGGTCCCTCAACAGTTAAATATAAGATTAACATATGAATCAGTCTTTCCTCTCCTAGGTATACACCCTAAAGAAATAAAAGTACTCAAAGAATTGGTATACTAACGTTCATAACAGCACTATTCACAATAGCCAAAAGTGAGACTAATCCAGATGTCCATCAACTGATGAATGGGCAGACAAAATGTGGTATATCCATACAATGGAATAGTATTCAGCCATAAAGAGGAATAAGTTACTGATACATAGTATAACATGGATGAACCTCAAAAATACTCTAAGTAAAAGCAGTCAGACACAAGAAGTCATGTATCATGTAATCCCATTTGTAGGAAATATTTAGAATAGGGAAATCCATAGAAACAGAAAGCTGATTAATACTTACTCTAGGTATGTGTGTGGAGGGTGAGAAATGACTGCTTCATGGGCATAAAATTTCCTTTTTTAGGTAATGAAAATGTTTGGAACTAACTAAATGTTCTGAATACAGCAAATACTGCTAAATTGTACATTTTTACGTGGTTAATTCTGTTACATGAATTTTATCTCAGTTTAAAAATAATTGTGGGGCAGCAGGGGGGAAGCATCTAAAATTCCTACTTGCGTTGGATAGATGGTCAGCGAGAGCAAATTTGGTAAGCTATTTCAGTTGGCAAATCCTTCAGTATCTCCTGCCAATCAAATCTTTTGCCAGGGCAGGCAAGGTCCTTTTGTTCTCATGGCAATGTGTGCTTGAAATTTGTCAATTGCTCCCTCCTTTGTAATGAAGCCATTGGGCTCGTCCCATTCCTTTCTGGACAAGATGACCAAAATCTGTCTAAAGGGAAGTGCTGAGAATGGGCAGACAATGGTCCAGGTAAACTGGGAGCTAAGTTTTTGCTTATTTTCTACCTCTTAAAACTTTCCAGAGGTTAAAATTGAGGTCTCGCGATATCCATTCTTCTGAGCTACCTAGGGTGGGCAGCGGGTGGGGGAATCTGGGAATCTAGTGGCTCTGGGGCACTAGACTGTGGGGTGACGATTGGTCAGCACTGACACCACGTGCCTCCTTGAGACCAGTCAAGGATTCTTAGTCCCTTTTCCCCCACTGGGTGACCTGCCAGGCTGTTCACGCTCCCTTCACCCCTCTCAGCCCCCGACATCATCACCACTGAATAGAAACTGCACCTGTTGATCCTCCTCTGAACACATGCTAACATCTCATATCAAATGTAACTTTGCCATCCGGAGGAAAGGACACAACTGATCCCCATAGTGGCAAAGGTGGGTGCAGATGAGGAACCTTTCGTGTGCGGGCGAGACTGGGGCAGAGGGAAGGAGCCTAGATGATAAGATCCTGCCAGGTTCCTGACAGTGTCCCAGCCAGAGAGGAGGGGCAAGTATGGGACGGACGTCTCCCCACCTGACACGACATTCCCTGGGGTGGTAGTCTCCTTCCCAGCGGGGGCTGGAGGGTCTCACCTGGTGTCCAGTGTGGCTGGCTGGAAAATGTCTTTGCCTCCAGAAGTCTCATTTCATCCTATAAGTCTAGCTACCGCTGAATTGCAAAAACCCCAGTTATGAGAACCCTGCCAGGTCCCCACAATAGCACCCCTGTTGTTGTGTAACACAGCACCTGTGAAATCTTGCTTTGGGTTTTGTTTTGACATCTTCTTCTTTCCCTAAATGTGGTATGGAATGCAATATCATCCCAGAGTCTGGATGTTCAGTCTTCCTCTGTAAAATAGCAAGAAATGACTCCAAGTCAAGTAATAACCAACAAAGGGACAGAAAAATGTTGAGAGCAGCTCAGGATTTCTTGTATTTGTTTCTGCCCCTACACAAAATTCCTGTGCTTTATAGCCTCTCTGAGGCAGGAGTGAAGTGTTCCCCCTAATGAGGAACGTTCCTGATGCCAACCCGTGATAGCCTCCCCAAAGCCCTAAGGCAGCTATAATTTTGAGTTGGTGTATCTTTTTATTGGGCTTATTTTGCTCTGTTGATTTTGAGCAGGAATATTTTATCTCATTTATGAAATATTATTTATCTATCAGTGTTGGAATAAATTTTGAAGAGTGCAAATTCAGAACTTCCTTTGCTGTCATCTGTAAGTTATCAACAAATTCAGACTCCTTGAACACTGTGATTAAAATCTCTAAGAAAGAATGAGTTCTAATTTAGTAGACTTAGACAGAGAAACAATGGAGCAAAAGTGTGTGAGCCAGTCATAATGGCACAAGCCTGGAATTCTAGCACTCAGGAGGCTGAGGCAGGAGGATTTCTGCAAGTTCAAGGCCAACCTGGGGCTACATAGTGAGACTTTATCTCAAAAAAAAAAAAGAGCAGCAGCAGAAGAAGAAACAGTATGTGAACTTGAACAAGTCACTTTACCACTTCCATTTTCATTTCTGTGAGATACTGCTTCAGGGCATACAGTACCTAGATTAAATTAACAGCCATGCAAACACCCAAACCTGGTGTAGTCAGTGTTCACCTGGGCTATGAGTGTCCTAACCAAGCCTGAAAGCAACAACAGCTGGAAAGAAGGCTTCAGCAAGGCACATCCCTAGGACCTGCTCCAAACTTTGTTCTTTCTGCTAGAGTAGCTTGAAGCTGAACTCGGCTGGAAACTAGAAGAGTGGAAGTGGGGAACGCCTTTATTGCTTGAGTCCCTTGAGATCCTTTCCTGGCCCAAATCTTCAGTGCCTACGGTGTGCAGGGCTCATTCTCCAGTGCCGCTTCTGTGTCCTTCTAAGTTTCTCACCTGGGTAAATGACTCCTCTGGACTCCTAGAGGAGAGAACAGTGGACATAGCAGTGTTGATCTCAGAGACTGCTGTGGTACTCTTTAAAAAAAAAAAGAGGAGCACAGGGCAAGGCCTATCTGGCCAGCAGGAAGTATCCTTCATGCAAAATGACTGATTTCTAAAACCTGTGACGTCAGCTCTCGAGAAGCCTCCTCTCTGGTTTATATGTGGGAAATCCAGCAGGAAGTGTCCTCCTGACGCCTGGAGTGCCCTCACAGGGGAAGCTGTCTGGTGCAGCGGCTCTACCAGCTTATGTAGGCCCAGTAGACCTTCTAGGCTCTGTGGCCCCAAAACAAAAGGGCAGCAGGGTTTTTTTTCAAAATTGTTTGGGAAATAATTAACTTACTTCCTTTGATTCTTTCTGCGTTGTGTGAGGACAGTCAAGTAGCCGGGGAGGAGAACATGTTCTATTATATTTAAACACTGCTAAGGTAAACAGTGGAAGAAATTCTGCTAGAAAAGCCCAGCTCCCTTCGAAGGGTTGGAGGGGTGTGTGTGTGTGTGTGTGTGTGTGTGTGTGTGTGTGTGTGTGTGGTGTATGTGTGTGTTTCTGTCAGCAGAACTATTGATAAAAGATGTGGCCATTTCCTCTAATTTCTCTCTCTCTCTCTCCCTCTCTTAAAGGGCTGAGTTTCCTGCTGCTATTTACCAAGATGCTTTTTATCTTTAACTTCTTGTTTTCCCCACTTCCGACCCCGGCACTGGTCTGCCTCCTGACATTTGGAGCTGCCATCTTCCTGTGGTTGATCAACAGACCTCAGCCAGTCTTCCCGCCCGTTGACCTGAACAAGCAGTCTGTCGGGATTGAGGTAATTTTCCAGTCACCTCTATAGCCTGTCAAACTTTACTGAACACAAGCTACAAGTCAAAAGTAGGAGATAATTTGTAAAAAGGAAGAGGATCTAGTGTAGTATAAGAAAGTAGCCCTTTTAGGTTACTGATCCATGAGTCATCTACAAATTTAAAGTTCTATTATTAACACATTTTCCTTTATAACAAAAGGAAATCACAGCAGGGTCACAAGATGCCAGTAATCTAGATGAGGGATCAGCAAATTATAGCCCTTGGACAAATCCTACCTTTTTCTGAGTAAATTGCAAATGTAGAATAGTTTCACATTTTTAAAGGGATAAAAATTTAAAGGTGGGGGAAGGAATTATATGCTTTGCACAAAACCTGAAATATTGTAGACTGAACTATGTAGCTGTTTAGAGCAAAATTTTGCCAGCCCATTCTTTAGGAGTGAGAAAGCATTTTCATAGAAATACCCTGGTGTCAGAGAATGAGAAAAGTTATTTCCTCGAGTTCAATTCTACCTGTGAATTAATATCCCTCATTCTCAGAAATCTAACTGGGTTAATTCCCCTTGCTGTCAATAAGACATGGCTTCCTCCTGTATCTCTTGAAAGCTCCAGTGACATTCTCTTCATCTTTTCTTCCTTACCCTCCGTAAATAGCATCGCCAGTTTTCATCCGATTCCCTCTTCAGAGAAAAAATAATCCCTGTTTCTGTGCAGGCTGACTCCATCTCTTCTTTGTGCAGTCTTCTTTCATCTACTCAGGCATCTAACTTTCAGACATCTCCACTCTCTACATCTCGTTTTCCCAAATCTTTTGGTCCGTTTCCATGTTCCTTGCGACCTTCCTATCCTGTTCCTTCAGGCCACCGTATCCTTCCAATCCTCTTTCTCACTAGAGATGTTTGGGAGTTACCTGTTTATTAACTTCATCTTCTGAACTTCAGCTCCCCAAGGCTGCCCTTTGATCATTCCCATCTTCTCTGAAATGCTCAAGGTTCTTTTTAACCTACTTTCTTAATTCAAGCATCCCCCAGCCTCCTTCTCACCTAACTTCAGAACTCTTTCTCAAAACTCCTCCTTGCACCTTTCATAATACCCTCCAATAAGGAGTGAAGATTCTAAATAATTTTTGATTCTTCTGTCTTCCTCCTCTGGTGCTTATTTTCCTCAATGGACAAGAAATTTACTTTGGATATCTTGCCTTAATCTCGTGGAAATCTCCCCAGCGTTCTAGGCTATGCCAGACTCTTACAGCCTTGTGTGTTACTCTGTACTTTTATAATCCTTATCTGGTTAGTAATTTACATTTTTAATGCTTATCTAATTGATGCCTATTCTCTAGACTAACTTTCGTGAGGGTTGGGCCATGCCTGTAGCTTCAGTTGTGACTACAGGGTCCTTCCCCTGGGCCTGATCCTCTAGCTCCAGATGGGGCCCTTACTGCTTTTTCTTTCTCTAGCGCTATCTTCTGTAGCTTCCCACAGGTGATTTCTTGTTCTCATGCCTTGGTTCACAGGATTCCTTCACTCTGGGTGATTTTCCCTTTTTTCTCTACCTTATCCAAACCACTTGCATTTGCTATAAATGCTGATTTATCTTAAAGGCGCTATTATTTTTTTTCTCTGTGACCTTCCTTCTTTATACATTTCTCTCCCTAATGGTGCACCTATTTTTTAGCACAGCATGTATACTACCTTATTTGCATTTTTTTGCCACTTTCCCTATTCGCAGTCCAAAACTCTAGTTTATGAGGTGCTCAGGGGCAGCTATTTTGACTTAAATCCCATCGATAGTATTTTCCCAGTGCCTGGAACATATAGTATGCATTTAGTACATGTTTAAACTTGAAATGGTGGTTTTTTAAAAGAATTTAAAACCGTACATATAATCCCTCCTCTGTGTATATATATACACAAACATGTACACACCAGTGTGGTTAGTAGAACATAATTATGACAATCTGGCTAGTGGGATTACAGGCCCATTTTTAAAAAGTTTTTCTATACAGGTATATTTTCTAAAATTTCCATGGTGTGAACATATCACAATTTTAAAATTTGATTGATAAGCAAAGAGAACATTGCTGTGGCCCAAAGAATCAGCAGTTATATTCTCTTTAGTTCAATCCATAAAAGTTTTGGAAAGAGTGGAGACTCAGACTTGGCTAAACTTGGTCTTGTGTCTTAGGGAGGAGCGCGGAAATTTCCTTTCCAGAACGACCTAATGCGTTGTTACTTCCCAGATGCCAACACGATGTATGAAATTTTCCAGAGAGGACTTGCTGTGTCTGGTAAGTGTGGTGGTCTGGCTTTGCCTGCGAGGGGCCTAAGGTGGGATCTGTCTCACTCTTTTCTTCCTGTCATTTCTAAAAGTCCAGCTGTTTAGATGTGGTCCAAATAGATGTGGTCCAGCTGTGCCTCACTTAGCACAAATAGAAATTTCCTTGCCAAGCTGTTGTTAAAAAGTCAAGAAGACAATTACGTCTAGGAAAGGATTTTGATTACCTTATTACAATATTGGTTTAAGAACATACTTTTCATAAATGTTCTCCTTGCGTTCACACATGAAGAATCTGGGGCACAATAAGCAGTTGGGAGTTCTGACTTCTCACCTTGTTCTCTTTTTACCTTGTACTCCAGTATCATACTCCTGGTCCTTTGGGCTTGGATAAGTTCATTTGAAAAACAGATCAAGCCTTCATGTCTATAATGTATATCACTGAATGTAATGCTAGGTACCCAAATTTCCCTTCAAAATCACCTTTCAGGTCTCTAGTTTTTTTTTTACATTGGGTAACTTCCTGTCAGGTACAGGTTTGCCCACCTGGCTTTCCATTCCTCCCTCCCATGCTCCTTGTTGACCATGACCATGATAGTGTTTGCAGCCAGCTCCCATCGAGTGTGAACGATGCAATAGGCACTGCACATATTTTATCTCCTTAATCTGTCATTAAACTCTAGGGGTTGCTCTCAACCCCACTTTTATAGATGAGGGAATGGAGAGTCAGAGGTTCAAGGAGACTTTCAAGGTCACAAATGCAGAAAATATTAGAGCTAATACTGAAACCTAAGTCTGTCTGGGTGATGATTGTCCTATTCTATGTCAGCTCTTAAAGTGTTTTAGAAAGCAGCTACTCCTCTAGATGATACAAAGTTTACTGTGAAGAAAATTTCTATGCAACACCCCACAGTGGCCAGTATCTAGTATTTCTGATCCAAATTAGCATTCATTTAGACTTCCATGCAAAACCAAGCAAAAACCAAACCAAAACTGATTTTTTTTTTTTACTTCTCTGGCAATTTAAAATAGAAAATGGCTAAAATAGTAGAATTTCCTATAAGTTTTCCTCATTAAATGTATATTGTTATATAACTAAAAGCAAGTCATTTCACATGTGTTATGTGGCTTTTTAGGATTTTTTTCTATACTAAACTAAAATTAAAGTTGTAAGGTTAAAATGGCTTCTTAAACTGGGTACAGTGGCACATACCTGTAATTCCAGCTATTCAGAAGGCTGAGGTAGGTGGCCGACCTGGGTAACAAAGTAAGATCCTTCCTCAAAAATAAATAAGTAAATGAATAAACTGCTTCTTATGCAAGGAGGCATGAGAAATGGCTTGGCTATTTCTGTTTTTAAAAATGACACTTCTAATCTTTCTTGGGATTGAATACTCCTGGCCAGTAGTTTATCTATTAAGAATTACTAGGATATTATTTAAAGTATATGTCCCCTATTCTACTGAATCAGAATTCCAGATGATAAGAAGTAACAATCCTCAGGAAGTGTTAAAAATACAAAGCTTCAGGGAGTGCACTTACTAAAGTTTAAACTCCAGTTAGCTTAATGCAGCTACTTTGCCAGGAAGTTATCGGTGGGTGGGCTCCTGGGGATGGCCACACCTTAGACGAACCAGGTCTGAGCTGAACAGGTTAATCAAAGGCGAGGCCAGTGGTGGTGAACCTATGGCACTTGTGTCACAGCTGCTTTTCATCCCTGAAAGCTCTAAAAGGTCCGCCATCACTGAGCTAGGCTTATCGGGCTAAAGCTGACTAAGACAGAGTTTAATGAGATCTGGGTAGTTTCCCCTTTGGACCAATTAGTTGACTTGTTCTTTGACCAAGGGGCCTCTGCTAGCATTTTCATTAGTGGAGAAGTAATAAGAAGATGTAATGTATTTATTTCACATTCATCAACTCTTCCTCTTACTGGGTGATCTTGAAGAATATAACCCAATCCTTTATGATTCTCAGTACAAAGCAAATATGGTAATCATTGAGAAGACCCCAGGAAACTCACAATAGGCATTGAATGAACAGCAGCTACTGTTAGTGACTAACGTCACAGCCTGAGAGGAGTGATTGTGACCAATGGGAACATGGGGACTTGCTACCCTCCAGGGAAGGTCACAGGCTCAGACTTCATTTCAGGGGCTTTCATACAGCTGTTTCAACAGGAAAAAAAACTAGTAATGTTTCCTGTGGACAATCTCCTCACTCACATTTCATCTCTTTAATCAGCATGGTTATGTCTTTCCTGTTTTCCTTCCTTTCTTCCTCCATCACTCAGTCGAGAAGTTTGCTTTTCTGTTGCTGAATTCTGAGGAACCCTCCTCTAAATGCTTCCTTTTGGCAAGACCCGAATTTCTCTCAGCAACTTGATTAGATCCTCTGTATAAAAGCTCCTTGTTTTTCCTTTTCTAGTTATATGCAGACTTCTCCTGACTCAAATGTGGAGGATATCAGCCACTTTGGATCATTTCTTATCCTAATACCACTGCTTCCCTAGCTTAGCTTTAAGAGTTCCCAGATTTTTAGCTTTGCTTTAAGGTTCCCAGATTTATTTTAATTTTAAATAAGACCAAGTAGTTCAGATGTTCAGAATGTACATTCTCTTATTGTCAAATGTAGGACACAAACTGGAAAAACATTGAGGGTAAATGTGCGTGTGTGTCCCTGTCATACTTTATCTTATAAGACACTCTCATATAAACAAGCAAAGAACATAAACAGATGAATCAAAAGAGCAAATAAAACATAACAACTAAGAGAAAATGTTCTACTTTACTAGCTGTGAAAGAAACTTAGATAAAAGTAATAATTTTTAAAACCTATCAAACCAGATGGCATTTTTCAAAAGATACCACTTAGCACTATCTGTGAGAGTGTGCTGGAATTTGGTATGTTGCTGGTGGGAGGAAAAGGTCATGACTTTCCTGCCAAGCAGTGTGGTGTTGTCACCAAAGTTACCCCCATACGACACCTTGGGAGCAGAAGCCATCATATGTTCTCACTATGCAGTTCAGGCTGGCCTTGAACTCACTTTGTAGCCCAGCCTGGTCTCAAATTCACAACAATCCTCCTGCCTCAGCCTCCTGAGTGCTAAGATTACAGGCATGCGCCACCACACCTGGAAATCCATCATATATATTGTCAACACCCTCTCAGGTTCTGGCTAAAATTGCATACATCATTCTAGAGGATTAGCTTATGAAAACATTCTAAATGTAAAGTTAGGATAAAAATATTTATCATAACATTATTAGTGTCAAACATGGAAACAATCTAAATACCCACAGTGAGATAAAGTCAACTATGGTAGACCCCTTTCACTGAAATCTTTACAGAGAAAAAATAATATAGAAGTATCTATATCAAAGTGAAGAAAAAAATCAGATCACCCAATTATTATAGTCATTCTAAATATGTGAATGAGCATAACTTTGTGAAGCTATTAAAAAAAAAACAAAGGAAGGAAGTAGTGTTAAACCTGGTATTTGTGTGGTAAGAATGATGACTCATATTTTTATTTTTTTCTGTATTTTTAGGATTGTACATTTCTTTTACAATAGGGATCTTAGTCCAACACTATTCAAAACAGGTTCTTTGTGTTTGTGGGCTTTTATTGGGCCATGCGATGTGGGTTAGTGCATATTGATGGCTTCTCTGAAGGTTCATGTTACCACACAGGTCACAGATTCCACCGCTGTTTTGCTCCATTTCCTAAATGTTTCAGGTGTAGTTTCTAGGACTCTCTGGCTTTCAGAACCAAATACTTAACGCCCTTGAATATCTCTGAGCCTGTAAGAGAAGTTCACATTTTTGCTGGATTTATCCTTTGTGTGCTGGCCTCTTCTGAACCCTCTTTTATCTTCTTTGGTCCAAAAGATTTGCAACTGGAGAGATTAGAGTTGATTTTCTTGTAATGTTATGTTTTTAGACAATGGGCCCTGCTTGGGATACAGAAAACCAAACCAACCCTACAGATGGCTGTCCTACAAACAGGTGAGTCGGGCCCAGGGTTTTAGAAAGGTCCTTTTGCTAATGTATTTTGTATGCTGACCTAATTTGGTCTTTTTCCCCCTTTTCCTTTCTCTCCTCACCCGCTTCTCCCCACTCCCTCTTCCTCTTACAGGCTTCTGATCGAGCAGAGTACCTGGGTTCCTGCCTCCTACATAAAGGACATAAGCCCTCACCAGACCAATTTATTGGCATCTTTTCTCAGAACAGGCCAGAGGTAACCATACTGAAGATAATTAAAGAGAATCTCTTCTGCCACTCACACACCAATGCAGCACTCTTATACACACTGGTGACTTACCACAGCTGTTTAAAGATTTAATACTGCTTATTCTTCCACTTGAAAGAGTTATAACTCAGAGATTCCCTAATTCCTGACTGAATGGTTCAGATTCTAGTCCAAATGTTTGGACTTTTACTTGCCAGTGCACCATGGATCACTTTAAATCAAGGTGACTGCTCTGTGAGGCAGATAAGGATATTCCAAGTTACTGCCAGAATGCGGGCACCCATTGCAATGGAGTCTGGCCTTCACCATCTTGCCATGGTGGTTGGGGAGCAGATGTTATTGAGTTTCAGGAGAATCATTAGGCCCAACATCCTGAGGGAAAGTTTTGTCTAATCTTTATGTTCACTATAGCCAGTTTCTTTAGCAAGATTTTTTGATAAATCCCAATCAGCACTGACTGCCTCTTCCATTTTTGCTATACCAAGCCTCTGTAAGAAGAGACGACCTTGACTCTAGCTTAGGAATTTAACACCATACCTAGCATGTTAGTTTGCTAAGGCAATTGTAATAAAACACACAGGTTAGGGTGCTAGGAGCTTTGGTTTCCCCTAAGGCCTCTCTCTTTGACTTGCAGGTGGTCATTTTCTCATTATATCCTCATGTGGCTTTTGCTCTGTGCACATACATCCCTGGTGTCTCTTCCTCTTCTGCAAGACAACATCCTATTGGGTTAGGGCTGTATTTATGACCTCATTTAATTTCAGTGGCCTATTAAAGTCTTATTTCAAATACAGCCATATTGGAGTTAAGGCTTTAACATGACCATAGCGCAGGAAGGAAGAGACACAAATCAATCTGTAGTACCTGGACTGACATTTAAGGCCCACTGCTAGCAGACTGTGACCTACCTCTCCAATTTTATTTCCTGTTACAGTTCATGTTTGCTAATGTGTTTGCACAGTATATCATGTCTCCTATCTTTGTTCACTCCTATCCTTCTTTGAATGTCTTATCTACTTTCATCTCCATAGCCATATCCTACCAAAGCTCTGTTGAATTTCCCTCATTTTCCCCAAAGCAGTCCCAGGGAGCCTTGATCCCATCTTTGAATTTGATCTCTGCCTCCTCCAGGCTCTCTGGTGTTCTTTTACATCTCTTACATATAGCACTGGCCACACTTAACTTGGTATTCTGGTCTTCCTTTGACTTAGAGTTACCTTTGTGTCTACCTTATCTAACTTATTTAGTATGCTTTAAGGTAGGTAGTATCCATGAGGTCCTAAAGGCCTGCTCTTTTTACACAAAATGTAAAGTACATATGTGTGTGTATATATATATATCTACTCATGAAGCAGATATATATATTGATATTCATGAAGCAGATATATATATATACATATATAGATAGATAGATAGATAGATAGATATAGATAGATATATATATGGCATTTTTTGGGCTAAATGAGCTAAACATTCCTCAAACTCATTGTCCAGGACTTACTTGAACTTCTCTCTCTACAGTGGGTCATCTCTGAGTTGGCTTGTTACACATACTCCATGGTCGTTGTCCCCCTGTATGACACCTTGGGAGCAGAAGCCATCGTACATATTGTCAACAAGGGTAAATCTTTGCTACTACATTATAACTTGATTTTTTTCTTAAGTCTTTCTTACTTTCTGCTTTTTATTTTTCAGATTTGAAATATCTGTGGCCAGAAAATAAGTGTTTCAGTCTTTTGGGTTCTATAGTACTTAGGATATAATTTACGGGGAAATGATAAAAAGCCTATGAGGCAAAGATATGTTTAGATAAGAGATTCAATGAAATGTTTTAAAGTGACCTAGTACTACAGCACAGTGTAACTTACTACGGGTACGCTGGATAAAAGCCTAGAGTGCTTGATTGATTAAATCACAGTGGAGCCATAGATTTCTTACCCTTTATAAATTAAAGTCAGAAAAATTAACCAACCTGTGCTAATAACCATGGTGAATCTGTAGAAAAAAATTGCCACTGTTAGAGAAGCAAATCTAAATTCAGCAGGAAGTAGCAGCTCTTTCGTATATCAAAGATGTTGCTGTTTATTGCTGAACTAGTAGATTGAGTAGATTCATTACCACAGAAGCTTTCTGTTTGTGCAAACACATATCAGAGAAAATGCCAATGTTTAGAATCACAAAATGTTTGTCTACTAAAAATTCCATTCCCCTTTCTTTTCTGTTCAACTTCCTACTCCTTTTCTCGAAATAAAGCATGTTGATAAGTCCTTGCCCCAGTGATCCATATACATTATCTGAATGATTTTTCTTAAGTATAAGAAATTCCATGGTTCCTTTAGAAACTACAAAATGTATTGGCAGCATGCAAGAAAATTACATGTTTCTGTTTCAATTGAGCTAATTTATTACTAATAGAATGTTAATGCTACACATCTGATTGGCAGGTATAATCTTTGAGGAGCTACTAACTGGAATTTTTGAAAATCTCTTCTACTTTTAGGGTAATCAAGTGCTTAGCAGAATAGGAGGCTGACCTCTGGTTCTATTTCCATTTTCAGCTGATATCTCCACTGTTATCTGTGATACACCCCAAAAAGCATCGGTCCTGATAGAGAATGTGGAAAAGAGCCTCACCCCATCCCTGAAGCTGATCATTGTCATGGACCCTTTCGATGATGACCTGAAGCAGAGAGGAGAAAAGTGTGGAGTTGAGGTCTTATCCCTCTTTGATGCTGAGGTATAGATCTGAACCTCAACTTACAGCTTGAAGGCTAGTACAACATCAAGAGCAATTCACAGGAAATCTACACAAAATCCAGGGCTGCTACTCTCCACAGATAGCATACAAGAAGTGAACTAGGCTCACACTAAGAACCTTTAAGAATTGCTTCTTCAACACAATTCAGAAACTTCATGCAAAGGCAAGGGAAAGTGCTGTGACCAGTTACGTAGACTTCTGAATACATAGTATCTGAATATAAAGTTCACTACCAGTTATGTGGCTTTGGGGTCCAGGTTTACATTCCAGCTCCACCTCCAATCACAGTCCTGCTCTAATCACCTAAGTCAGGTGACATTAGGCAAATGATTCCACATCTCCCTTTCCCCGTCCAAAAAACTCACAGGGTTGCTGGGAGAGTTAAATGTGTTAATATGTGTCAGTTTCTCAGGAAACTAATATGTGTATGCTCCAGCATGTTAACTATTTGTATTATTAAGGGAAGATTTAGTTGTGGTCCTAGATGACCAAACCTTAAGAGTATGGAAATTCCAAGTATGGAAATTTCCATATTTACCCTTTTTAGGTTAATATTCATGCTAAACTTTCTCCTTGCTCCTGGAGTTTGCATTGTACCTGAGTGTTGGCTTTGGGACCAAATCTGGCTTGGAATTGTGGTTCTATTCCCCTACATTATTGTGGTATCTTTATGGACAGGGAAAGAGTGGGCTCCATTTGTCCTAAGTGTGTCCATCTCAACAAATGTTTTTCTTTCTTGGTTTTCTCCTCTTGCAGAATTTAGGCAAAGAGAACTTCAGAAAACCAGTGGTAAGTTTTCTTCAGCCTGAATTTGATTCTTGGCATAGTTAACTCTCGAAGTTCATAGTAGACTAAGCCCTGGTGCTTCTGTTTCCAGCCTCCAAACCCAGAAGACCTGAGCATCATCTGTTTCACCAGTGGGACCACAGGTCAGTGCCCCAAGGCCCTATGGGAACTCCAAATCTGCCAGAAACATAGCATTAGTCTCTGGCCACTTGTAGGCTGGTACCAATCCTCTACCATGAGTCCTGTCCTTAGGGGCTTGCAATCTAAAGCTTTTGAGTATGAAATCCCAAATATAGAAGTAAATAGACTTAATCAAATACTATCACAAGCTATGGATTTCAGGGGTCTTAAAGATGGTGTCAGAAAGCCAGTTTCCCCCCTCAGCTTATCACTCTCAATTAGACATCACTGGGACAGTTTCATTCAACCAGGGTAGCTCAGTGATCATTCTCTACTCATAGCTGTGCCTGTATCCTACCTCAAACCACCTAGTAGAATGCTTAATCATTTCTAATGTGGCCCATGATGGTCCACAAGCTACATTTATTTCAGCATGCCCAACTCATAAAATTTGTAATATCACTAGGTAATACTGTTAGTTAGATTTGAGGTCTCCTGTGAACAGTACAGGAGGGGTTTCCTTGAAATTTCCTCCTCGCCTATGTTGCTGAGATTATGGCTGTGCCCTTGGTGGCTCACTGGGTAGTGAATGATTCCACATCTCCCTTTCCTCGTCCAAAAAAACTGGATAATAATAGTCCTTACCTCACAGAATTGTGATACATTGGGCAGTAGAATCTCTTGGGACAATCATTCTTAAACAGAGGCATATACATACACAAAAGGACACAGAGACAGGAAAAACTCTTGATCTCTGGAGCAGAATCAATTCAATCTAGCTTCTTTCAGGACCAAAGACTATCTATTAGTTACATAAAGGATTTTTCTCTCCACATACTTCCTACAGGTGACCCCAAAGGAGCTTTGCTAACCCATGAAAATATTGCTTCAAATGTTGCTGGTTTTCTCAAAAGTATCGAGGTCAGTGGCCCATTGAAAAGGAGGCTCTCGTTAAAATGTGAATCCATTATAATGTTTTTATTCTTGAAATTAGAGGAGGCAGAGAGTGACAGGCTGAAAACAAACAAACGGATTAAAATCTCGAGTATGGCCCAATGCTGGTGCAGTCTTTGTCTTCAGGACAATATATTTTCAAGGCTTAGTCTTTAAGGACCACTGCAAATCTCTGCACTCCACAAAGTCTGGCACTTTCATGACAGGGTCATAATTCATATTTCTCACTGCCTCTTCTACTGTCAGTGATACAGGTTGCCTGGTGGAACAGTCGTGCATGTACCATCGGTGGTACAAACCAGTGGGAATGTGTTAAAGGACCTCTTAGAGTTAACCTGTGTATCACATGGGGCAGTCCTGAGAAGGGGTAGCTTTTGAATCTCCACTAGAAGAGAAAGTTGGCATTAATCCACTGTTGTCTCCGTGTTCCTAATCTACAGACTGTTTTCCAGCCCACCTGTAATGATGTGACCATATCCTACCTCCCTTTAGCTCATATGTTTGAAAGAGTTGTGCAGGTGAGTGTCCTGTATTCCTAGCAGGTGTGTGAAGAGGGGGTCCTGACTTGCTCATTACATGCTTATTCCAAAGCCAGCGACACAGCATTCGCTATCCGCTCTCCATGGTGTCAAGCATAGGCAGGGAGTTGGCTCACCTGAGACCTGATCCTAGCAGTCCCCTAACTCATGGTAGCGCCTCGCTCCATTGAGTCCCTATGTGCCCCTTTCCCAGGGATGCATGAGTCCGTCAGGATCACAGCCAGGAGCTCACCATCTGCTTCAGTTCTGAGCTGACTCAAGAGACACTGCATCTTTCTTTGTTTTGGTTAGAATTCTTGAAAATATTGAAGGCTAGAGAAAAGGAAGTTCCTCCACAGAGAGACAGGGAAAGAGCATTTGATCCAGTAAAGTTCAAGGTGTTACAAACAGGCATTTTCACACCACACCCAAGTGTTTTGCTCCTATGGTAGAGGCAACAGAGGAGAGTCAGCCCGGGTTGGGCTCCAGGCTCCTCGGCTATTCTGAGGCTCATTCAGGAACAGACAGCAGCATTGGCCTTTCAGAAACACACGTGGTTTGATGGAATATTTTTTCATCCTGCTCACGGCTGGTTGATGCCTAGGATACTGAAATGCAAGATCCCGTTCATTGGACTAAAGTGTTTGTATGTGATTAATAAAAAAGATTATGCTAAGTGTTTAAACTTTTTAACCTTTCTGAAATGGGATGGGCTTGCAATTAAAGGTGTGTCCTAGTTTAACTGGCAGTGTTTCTTCTTGGTGCTACATAATGAACAATGCCATAAAAAGAATGATAGCTCAGACCTTCACACAGATCTATGGTGGAGTCAGCAGGTACAACCTACAGTTTCACAATGTGTCTGATCTGCCCCATCACCTCAGCAGAAACACACTTCCATCCTTACTTGGGGGAGGCTGAGAGTCCTGGGTACTGACTGGGGCGAGGAGTTGCGGTACAGGGAAAAGTACTTGCGAACCTCAACCCATTACCTTAATCCTATCCGAGACAGGCCCCATCTAAGCCTCCTGTTTCCTCTTGGTTTCAGGCTGTCGTGTACTCCTGCGGAGCCAGAGTGGGGTTCTTTCAGGGAGATATCCGGTTGCTGCCTGATGATATGAAGACTCTAAAGCCCACAGTTTTTCCCACAGTGCCTCGCCTGGTTAACAGAGTCTATGACAAGGTAACCTTGCTTTCACTGGACTTGCCCTGAGAGGCATGGACTATCCGTGGTCTAGGCCTATGCTAAGGATCTGGGAGACTATGCTTCTGGAGAAGAAGCCTCCATACCCTCCAAGTATCTATGTAAAGCCATGTTTACAAATGCTGCTGTGATAAACCATGATAGATGAACCCCCCTTTCCTCTGGGGGAGATTACTGACCTGAGCAAGACCTTTCAACTCTGAGGCTTGCAGTTAAAGAACTTTCCCAGGGGGATATCTACTAAGGGGTGAGCTAGAACCAACTGTCACCCAGTGGTTTTAGCTACCGTTGATTACTGTTCACTGGGGTTTGAAAACTGGTGATTTTTCTACTTCTAATGCTGTAATTTTTCTTGTATTCATTAGCTGAGATTCTATCATAAAGATTTAGCAAATATATTCTTTTCTTTAATTTGTCAGTCTTCATAATAATGAATTGGTGCCCTAGCAACCTTCACAAGTGGCTAGTGAAGGTTTTCTTGTATAATTATGAACTCAAGATTTTCATATTTATGTATTTAATTTCTTTTAGTTATTTTTTTTTTTTGATATTCTGATGGGCCCATCTTACAAGTTAGGAACTCCCATGTGTCCTTTTGACATGACCCCAGCAGTCTTTGATATGTTCCTAGCTTTCTGGCACAACAATATATCCTAAGCTCATCTTACGTATTTCTCACCAAAGTCACTAGACACAATGGCACATGCCTGTACTACCAGCCACTCAGAAAACTAAAACAAGAGGATTGAGAGTTTGAGGTCATCCTAGGAAACTTAGTGAAATCTGCCTCAAAAAATAATGATGAAATAAAAAAGAAGTTGAGAATGAGCCTTCCTAGTTGGCTGTAGGCCCAGAAATGGAAGCATAAACATAGAAGATGGCCAGAGAGGCAGCCTTCAACTTCTGAACTAAAAAGAGCTTTGATTTCCTTAAATCTTATTTCCAGTACAGTGTAGTTTTAAAGGTTGGAACATAGAACTGAAGATTTAATTTTGGAAATAAAAGGGTGGGGCAGTACTAGACCCGTGCTTGAGGAAGCTCTTCTTAGGCAAGAGTGTGGATGATGGATTATAGAGTCACGGTAATGCCAAGGTCAGGAAAACTAGGGAAATAATGCAAAGTGAAAAACAATGTCAAATGGTTAAGCCCAAGCAGAGAAATAGTCTAGGTAGGCGAGTCTGTTGAATGTTGTATGATGTGGCTAAAGGTACTTTCACTATTGAGAAAGGTGGTAATTGTATGAGTTTAGTAAATATAAAAACAGCAAAAGAGTAGGGTAAGGGAGAGGTTGTCATTGTTTTAAAAAATCATATTCCTAAGCCCTTCTACTAAACTAAAAGCCCTAGGGGTGGTGCTCACTGAATTGCTTTTTAACCCAGTTTTGAATCCAGTGACTTTGCAGGCAGTCTTTCTTCAGCACCTTTTGCTTATCCCATTTGTTAAAGTTACTTGCCAAGGACCAGAAGTCTGGATCTCTGTATGTCCATTCTACGCTCACTTAGGTGAGGGTGATTGGACTTCTCTGGGATCATTATTACCCAGTGACACAATCCATGAGTATGGGACCTTTCCTTATGGACTAGAAAGCATCATCGCTTCCTTCCTAACTAATGAGCTTAGTATCTCTAGCAGGTTTCTGACTAAAAGGAATTGTCTCCCTGCAGGTACAAAGTGAAGCCAAGACACCCTTGAAGAAGTTCTTGTTGAACCTGGCTGTCGCCATTAAATTCAATGAAGTGAAAAATGGTATCATCAGGCGTGACAGTTTATGGGATAAGCTCATTTTTGCCAAGATCCAGGTAGGTTGGGGGGTCCTGGATGAGCCAGTCCAATGCCAGGCTGCTCACTCCTCATTGTACTGTGCTTTTCCTTGATGGCTGGATATTACTTTAACCGGAGATCCTGTTGGTCTCCTCTCTACTCATCTTTTGAGACTCCTCTTGTTCAACTTTGCCACTGAAGAAATAGGTCTAAAAGTATAAAACAACCTTTATTTAGGTACTAACCCTCTCTATTATTCTCCTACATGGTCTGTTGACATTATATGCAATTTTATAGGCCTCTAAACATAAATGTTTTGAGGAATTTAAAGAAAACATGCAAGTTGTGGCCTGAAAGATGCAAGGTAGTGACAATAATTGTTAACATTTTAAATGCTATTTTACAGTGCTAGGCTCTAGTCTAGGTGTTTGTAAATGAACTAGTTTAATTCTTATAACAGCAAGCTAGTATATCCATTTTACAGTGGAGGAATCAGAAGCCAAGACAGTAGATTTCAGCAAGTCCTTTGTTTTCTTTTATTTTGTTTTTCCATTCTATTAAACAGGACAGCCTGGGTGGGAAGGTTCGCTTCGTGGTCACTGCAGCAGCCCCCATCTCCCCTCCAATCTTGACATTCTTCCGAGCAGCAATGGGATGTATGGTAAGATTTTATTTTTGTATATACAGAACTCATTATAAAAAATGAAAACACAATGGCAAAATACCTATGAGAAAGTCACCCCAAATCTTAAAATCAAGAGAAAATGTCCTCCACGTCATGTCTTTATGCATCGTTATATAGAAATTTTTATACAAATGGAATTAGTGTTCTAAAATACCCAATTAACAGTACCTGTTAACATTGCTATTTTTCAAATAAAGATCTACACCACTTTAAAGTTTTCAAACAGTTTATTGAAGTCATTCAAATGGCAAGTTTACTACTGTAAACACTGGAGTTGCTCATCATTTTTCACTGAAGTGATGACACTTGTGTCCTTTAGTATGTATGTGATTATCAACTTAGAATAAATCCATGAAAATAGAAATTATTAGGTCAAAGTGCATATGTATACGTGTGTTGGTACACTTTTAAAATATACAGTAATGTATGTTATCAAACTTTCCTCCAGGGAGATCTAGCCTTTTATATACATCCCTATAAATAATACATACATCATCATTTCTCTATATTTTTGCTAGTGACAGGCCTTGTCAGTCATGTACACCTTAGTCAATTTGTTACTTCTAAATAAAAAACTGTATTGCAATGTTTTTCCTTTAATTAAAAGTGAGCATCTTTTCTATTGCTTATTGACATTTATGTGTCTTTTATGAATTACTTTATTACTTCTTTACAGAAAAATGGACAAAGGGTGATTTGGTTCTCTTTCATATTGTTGTCTAAGAATTCTTCATATAATCATAAATAATTTTTGTTGAAAGTATTTTTCTTAGCCTCCTATTGTTCTTGCATATTGCTATATAAGTTTCAAATGCTTAGGCAGTCAAATGGATTAAGGCTTTCTATGTGTGATTTTTGAATTGTTTAGACAGGACTTTTCACTCCCCAATATTTCATAAGACTGTTTTCACCCACATTTTCTGGTAAACTTATGGTTTTACATTTTTCCCCATTTCTCTCTGTCTGGAATGGATATTATCTCATCTCTTTCCCATGAAATGGATTACTAATTTGCTTATTCAGCCACCCAAGTATAGTATAAACAAAATAGGAAACAGACACAAGTTTATGCTCACAGAGATTGTCCCTATGCATATAATCAAAATAGATTCTGAACTGATACCAGAGCTAGTCAGAAGTCCTCTAGGTTTTTAAAATATCGTATTCTTAGTTATTCTTAATACTTTCCCTCAGTCCCTAAGAGCAGTAGATTAGAAAGTCCTGTTCTCGCCTCACTTCTATGGAAGTCTTCTGTAAGCTCTTCTCTTCTTTCTACCAGCCTATAGCCGTACCTATCACACACACACTTACAATGCAGCAGCCTATCCACTTTCTCTCTGCCACTAGTGTTCCGCAGTCCAGACCATCTTCTCTGCCAGGAGTTAGTACAGGAAAATCTTAGTCTGCTGCATGTTTCTATAAATGAAATTGTAGTGGAGCACAGCCATATTCATTCATTTACACACAATCTATGACTGTTGAGCTGTCACACTGCTAGAGTTAAGTTGTTGAGCTCCAGACCATAAAGCTGTAAAGTTTTACTGTCTTACCCTGTGCAGAAAAAGTTTGCCAACGCCTCTTCTTTATCACAGCTGCAGTTATTTTCCTTGAAGAGTGTTGCTCCATTCTTTTGGTGATGCTCCATTGCCCAGGTTCAGGTCCAGTTGCCATTGGGTGCACACGACTTAATAACTTGCATTTTTTATCCACCGCTTGAAATGCAATATTTTTCATGTAGGCTTTTGCACTTTGCTCTTTTTCTGAACCCTTGCTGTTTTTGAGCAAACACTCAGCTGTAAAGACTTGGCAGCTTGGTCATGAATTCAAGGTTTTAAGAAACTAAGTGGCCTCCAATCCTGGCCATAGGGCATAAACAGCTCATACTTGATTCTGAGCACAGCTCAAAGCTCTTCTTTTGTTTCCCAGGTGTTTGAAGCTTACGGTCAAACAGAATGCACAGGTGGCTGTACAATTACATCACCTGGGGACTGGACCTCAGGTAGGTCCTCCATCTGCTGGGCAGTAGGTACAGTGGTTGAAAGATATGTTCTAACTGAACTAGCACTTAGGAGTTTAGGCACTCTCACTTGTTCAGAACAATGTAGAAAGTGTCATGTCAAGTTTTGGGTCCATGTTTGCCTATCTTGACTATTCAGCATTCTTACCAAGTGATATTCAGTCTTATTTTCTTAGACTTGACCCATAAATATTCCAGGAGTATCCCTGAAAGTTTTGTGGTTTCCCAGCTGACTCAGTACGCTACGTTCTAGGTCACGTTGGAGCTCCCCTGTCCTGCAATTATGTGAAGCTGAAAGATGTTCCTGACATGAACTACTTTTCAGTGAACAACGAAGGGGAGGTGGGTAGGTCGTACGATATGGTCAGATAATCCTGTTGGGGGTGGGATTTAAAGGAGAAAAACACATAATTGTAAGGAGGCTTGTGTCTGACTCCCTTGAGCTTTCTTTCTTTCTTTTTTTGGTACCAGGAATCGAACTCGGCACCTTGCACTTGCCAGGCAGGCGCTTGTACTACTGAGCTATATCCCCGGCCCTCCCTTGAGATATTTGACAGGAAATGAAATATCTCTGAGCCTCACTTTTGTGCCTCCTATAATGGAACTAAAATACATTGTTCTTCATGCTGTAGTGGAATCCACTGAATGAGAACAATAGAAACGGGTGTCTCATAAAGTGCCTTTTCTATGAGAAGCATCCTTGCTGTTGCCACCACTTTCTTCTCTCTGGCATACAGATCTGTATTAAGGGCCTCAACGTGTTCCGAGGATATCTAAAAGACCCAGAGAAGACACAGGAAGTCCTGGACAAAGATGGCTGGCTGCACACTGGGGACATTGGTTGCTGGCTTCCAGTGAGTATTTCTTCATAACTCCCAGAAGTCTGTGCTGCTGGCCTGGGGCGCACACTCTCCCTATTGCAAAAGAAGCAAAAATGCGAGTAGGCTAATCAGCCAAGGCAGCTGGAGGGGAAGAAGTCTTTATCCTAACCGGTGTGTGGCTTTCTCCTCCTGTAAAGAGTACACAGCAGTTGGAAGAAACTAGGCTGGAAGCTGGGAGATCTGGGTTCTACTTACAGCACTTCTATAGATCAAAATGTGAAATCCTGAAAAAGTAGGTTAATGCGTGACCTGGAGCTGCCGAAGCTAGAGAGGCTTTCTTCCTCAGGACTAGAGTACTTTTGCTACTTTGACCACAGTGTTATGGAAGGCAAGATTCAGACCAGTGGGTTTTCTTCCTTTCTTGTTTATTCTGAAGTACAAAGTCAGCAGTAGCCAGTAGGACCAGCCCTTTTTCCAGACCCAAACTGAAGGTGGGATTCTTTGAAAGGTCACATAGTCCTGAACCTCAAAACTGGGTTGGATCCCATGTACTGGAATAGATTTATTCATGGCCAGGAGAAAAATTGGTGATTTCTCTGGGAAAGGGGTAGGCAGGTATAGAAGTCTGTTCTCTCCCCACCCCTTCTCTTTTCTTTTTATTTTTCTTGAGGCAGATGTTGAGATTTGGTAATTCCACACACCCACAATTTTCCCAATTCATAAAGATTCATCAAACAAGGAAGTGGGATTTCTAAACCAAATGTTTACAGAGGCTAATGTTTGCTCTCAGTTGGTTTTATAGCCTCTCTCCATAGTGGATACAGAGCTTTTTATGCCTTTGCTTGCTGATAAACAATTAGTAATAGTTGCTGTTGATATCATCCTTTTTCCTAGGAAGAGAGGAAATTAGAGCACGGTAGTGGGGAAGCCTTCAAGCCCCCATAGGGGGTTTCTTTCCAAAGGGTTTCCTTTCTCAATAATTTTCCTTGCGGGGTGAGGGTAGGGTAGTATATAGCTGTAGTCCCAGCTACTCAGGCTGATGAGGGGATTAGAAGTTTGAGCCAAGGCTGGGCAACTTAGTGAAACCTTGTCTGGAAAAAAAAAGCACTGGGGATATAGTTCAGTGTTTTGTCCATGTGTTTAATGCCAGTACCACCAAGGGCAGGGGGTTCTTTTCCTACTATGTGCTAGGGGAGTGGGAATGTAACTAGGTCTTAAAACTTCTTTCTTGTTCAACTCAAAATTGAAGTGAGATTCGAAGAATTCTTGACAATGAGACTTTCAAGAACATGACCCTAATGACACTATTATGCATAGACTTTGGTCTCACTGTGTCTTGATAACATACGTTTCTGTTTAATTAGTGTCCCTGCTCTCATAAGCTGAGGATGTAGGCAATAGATATGTCCCCTCATTGGGGTTGTAAAAGGCCACTCTTTACAAATAGCCTTCAGATAATGTTAGGCTTCATTGATGACTCAGCTTTGATGGTTCCAGAGTTGGTGCAATCTATGGCCTGCTTGTAATGTGCTCCTGCGGATTGCATTTGCCTCTTGTTCCGATTCCACAATTCAAATCCCTAAGAACATAATCTCCTTAGAGAATTTAAGCTCAGGGAAACGAAGTTGTGAATGGCCTCTGGTGACGGGTCAGAGAGACTCCCCCAGCCCTGCTCCTGTCCTAACAAGCCCAATTACTGTCTTGCCTAATTAGTACAATGCAGCTGTTCCAGCCTGCCCCTGGATCTATCAGGAGGGAAACTGTGGAGTCAAGTAGGGGAAGAGCGAACTCATTCAACAGTCTCAAGAAAAGACTTTCCCTGTTCCAGAGAGTTTTCCAGAAAGAGCAAATGGAAATTAAATTATTGGAAACTGATTTTTTGGTACTGTTTTTGTCTTTTTTGAGACAGGGTCTAGCGGTGCAGTTCAGGTTGGCTTTGAACTCACTTTGTAGCCCAGGCTGGTCTCAAACTTGCATCAGTTCTCCTACCTCAGCCTCCAAGTGCTGGGATTACAGGCGTGAACCACCATACCCAGCTTAAAGTATTGGAAACTGAGAGGTGCAAAATTTCTTTATTGGCTGAGGCAACTATTTATATAACTCCAGAAGGTCCCAGAGACTTTTTCTGAGACTTTCCATGAACATGCAGTATAAACAGATTCTTGCTTTCAAGAAATCAACTTTATTTTTTAATTTGATGGGAAATTTATTTTTTTACTGTACATGTTTGCAATACATAGGGAGCATGTTCTTCATGGGGAGTTGGTACATGTACGTGACACATTCTGATTCTTTTCTCACTCTCTCTCCTCCCCTCCCTCCCCCTCTGCTGTCTCCAGGTCCACTTCTCTTTTGCAAAAGATCTATCTTCCTATTTCCTATTATCTATCTTTAATTTTGCTCTTTATTTAAATTTGGTGTTTCTCATATAAGTGAAATCATTCAATATTTAAGCTTCAGTGTGTGATTTATTTTACTTAACATTCTGGTCTCAAGGAATGTCCATTTTCCTGTGAATGACTCAAGTTTACCCCATTGTGTATAAATGTCACTTTATCCATTCATGTGCTGATGGAGGTACGGGCCACTTCCAAGATTTACCTGTTATGCATTTTTCTGCTATAAGCATGGGTATGCATGTGTGACTGTAATATGATGTTTTGAATTCTGTCCGGAAGCTACCTCGAAGGAGAATAGCTCAGTCAAATGGAATATCTATTTTTAGTGTTTTGAGGACTTTCCCAACTGGTTTCTATAATGACTTTACAAGTTTACTTTCCCATCAACAATGTAGAAGTGTTCCCTTTCCTCCTGCAACATTTGTTATTTGATGTGTTGGTGATGACCATTCTTGCTGGAGGAAGTTTGACTCAGTGTTTTAATTTGTATTTTTCTAATGGTCAGATATGTTGAAAATTTTTTCATGTATTTATTGGCCATTTGTACTTCTGATGGTTATCTATTTATTTCAGTTGCCCATTTTTGGTTGGGTCTTTGAGTTTAGGAGGCATCTAATTTTTCCTAGTTCTTCATATATTCTAGGTATTAGTCCTCTGAGGAATAGCTCACCACAAATTTTTCCCTTTCTGTAAGTTGTCCTTTCACTCTGTTGGTTGTTTCCTTTGGGGTGCAGAAGATTTTTAATTTGATATTACCCCATTTGTCAATTTTTGATGTTATTTCTTATGATAGTGGGAGTTCTGTTCAGAAAGTTCTTGCCTAGATGTATATGTTCAAGAGTTTTACCTATTTTATCTTCCAGTGGATTGTTTCTGTTTTAAAATTTTATCTTTGATTTATTTTGATCTTAGTTTCATGCACAGTGAGAGATATGGTCCTAGATTCAATCTTCTTTGCATGTTGGTAACCAGTTTTCTCAGAAACTTTTGTTAAAGAGGCTGTCTTTCCTCCAGCATATCTTTTTGGCCCCTGTGTCAAAGATCAAGGTAGCTGAATGTGCCTGGGGTTATTTCTACATCCTCTCTTCTGTTCTATTGATCATCATTTCTGCTTTGTGCCAGTGCCATGCTGTTTTTTTTAAAAATCACTATAGCTTTGTAATATAACTTTAAGTCTGATTGCAATGCTTTCTGCTTTGTTCTTGTCACCTAAGATTGCTTTTACTATTCTGGGTCTCTTCTGTTTCTATATGGATTTTAGGGTTCTATGAGGAGTGTTATTTTGGTTGGGATTTTGTGTTAAATCTGTATATCAGTTTTGGAAATGTGGCCATTTTGATAATATTCAAAATGACCACATATAGGAATGGGATATCTTTTGTTTTCTGATGTCTGCTTTGAAGTTTTTCAAAATACTGTAGTTTTGTTGTAGAGGTCTTTTACTTCCTTGTTCATGTTAATTCCTAAGTATTTGATTTTTTTTTTTGGTAGTATTTTGAGTGGTATTGTCTTCCTAATTTCTTTCTCCATGAGTTCATTATTGGTATATAAGAACAAGAAATCAACTTTAAGGCAAGGTAATACCTGTGACTTCCCCAAACTACCAAATGATACCACTTCTAAAGTTCAAAATACCTATGCTTTTTATGTGCCTCATACAGAATGGAACTCTGAAGATCATTGACCGGAAAAAGAACATTTTCAAGCTGGCACAAGGAGAATACATTGCTCCAGAGAAGATAGAAAACATCTATACCAGGAGTGGTCCAGTGTCACAAATTTTTATTTATGGGGAGAGCTTACAGGTAATGTACTGTTTTAACCCTAACTATTTTTAGGAACAGACCATGTTCATTCTGATAGCTACAGGGAATTTGGACAGGTGGTTTCAGGATGAGAAGATCCAGCTTATAAGACTAACAACATAAAGCTACATTCTGAATCTCAAATAAGGAAATATTAATGAAAAACATATTTTTGAAGCTCTGATGGACTTTGTAAACAAGTCAATGGAATTGTTGAAGCAGCTCTACTAAAAGGTAGCTTTTATTCCGTATCCCAACCCACTTTGCACTGTTTTGACTCCAGGAATTCCTCTAGAACAGCAAACTTGGCTTATTTTTCAGGTGGGAGGTAGGTGGTAAGAATGTTGAGAAGGAAAGGCCAAAGGTTCTTTATCCATATGACTACCACCTCTGTTTGAAGATTCAGATCAGATAGAACATCTTCATAATGATGTGGAGTGGAGTGGGACAATGGGATTGGAGTTTCATGGGGCTTTGGAACACAATGAGAAAAGAGAGTAGGACACTAGCTATTAAATTTGAAGCTTGGAGGTACTATCTATTAGCTTTCCCTACTGGGTGACTTTCTTACATTAGTCCTGTCATACCTTTGCACTTTTTGTTTCCTTTCTACAGTCATACTTAGTAGGAGTGGTGGTTCCTGATCCAGATGTGCTTCCCTCATTTGCAGTGAAGCTTGGGATTCAGGGATCTTTTGAAGAACTGTGCCAATCCAAAGTAAGTCTGGCTTAGAAAACCTAATGCACACCCACTGGCCCATCGTGACAGAGAGGAGGCCCTACCAGCTAGGGCACTCTGGGGTTCTTGGAACCTCCTCTCTGGAGGAACAGAATCTTGTTCCTATTTCTGTAACCTGTACCTATAGCCCAACTAGGCTGCATAGTTTTCACTGCATTTTTTTTTTTTTTTTTTTTCTTTTTGTACTGGTAATCAAACTCACGACCTTGTGCTTGCCAGGCAGGCACTTGTGCTGCTAAGCTGTTCTCAGCCCTTGCATAGTTTTATTAGCCTGTGAGATAGAAGGAGGAGTTTAAGAACAAAACAAAACTCCCTTTTTTTGTAGTAATATGATCCTTGTAGGAAACAAGAGAATTGGAAAATAAGAGAATAGAAACATCATTCAGAGAAAATCCCTATTAACATTTAAATTTGCATTTTCTTGCTTTTTCTTTGCTAAATATAAAGTGTATAATGTGATTGTACATACTTTTATATCCACTTTCACCCCAGTCATCTTTTATCCCAGGCATTTTCTGTTGGCTTTTCATTTAGGGTCTATTACAAAAGGCCCCATTTTAAAGGATATTTTGTATCTTAGATTGTGAAAGAAGCCATTTTAGAAGACTTACAGAAAATTGGGAAAGAAAATGGCCTTAAATCCTTTGAACAGGTATGTATTGTTGATGTTATCCTGATTACTTGTCATGCTAGAAGGTTTTATTTAAAGTCTCTGTTCCTAAAGGAGTTTAAACAGATAATTTTCAAACAGTTAATTTTAGATTTTGTTCCCTCAACCACAAGTGGTAGTAACCTTTTGTAGTTAGCCACGTTGCCCTTTTTGCTGTTCATTATCAATTCTCCCTATTCATTTCTTTCCAAAATTATAAGCATGTGAATGGGCATGGTTACTGTCATTACCTTCTACTGTGGCAAGCTCCCTTTTATAAGGTGGAATATTCTTTGAAATTCTTTGTTTTGTTTTGTTTTGTTTTGTTTTGTTTTGTTTTGTTTTGTTTTTCCAGTACTGGGAATCGAACTCACGACCTTGCACTTGCCAGGCAGGTGCTGTGCCGCTGAGCTAAATCCCCAGCCCCTGCTTTGAAATTCTTTACAGAATGCTCAGAGGACCGTGCAGAAAAGTTCAAATCACTAATAAACATGTATGCATGTGTTCACCTCACCTTCTAGGTCAAAAATATTTATATCCACCCAGAAGCATTTTCCATTGAAAATGGACTCCTGACACCAACGCTGAAAGCAAAACGAACACATCTCACCAAACACTTTCGGGCCCAAATTGACAGCCTCTATGAGAGTATCCAGGAATAGACTAAGGTACTCGGGGCTGATGGGGATCACAGCAGTCTACCTGCCCACCCTAGGCTTCATCGTGAGAATGTGGATTAAAACCTATTCTTCCATTCATTTTACCATTCCTCCTATCTGATGTTTTACTTACAGAACTATCAAACCCTGGCTTTTGTTTTTAGTACTGAAAGACTTATATTGCAGAAGCCCTGAAATAAACAAATCCTGTTCATCCCATCTTAAACATTGCTAAGGAAAAGATTTCAGAGGGCTGCTTTGATCAACATGCTTTCTTGAAGGTCACAGTTTTGTTCAGTGTCCCTTCCTTACCATCTCTAACAAAATGCCATTTTTATTTGTGAACCCTAGTTCTAGGGTCGAAGACAATGATGGCAAACCTTTTAGAGCTTTCAGGGTAACACAGCCCACTGTGGCATGTGTGCCATAGGTTTGCCACTACTGGTCTAAAGATACATTGTCTTTTGCTTGTTTTATAGTAAAACCTAGTTTGTCAGCAGGCTCTACACTTGCTTCAGCTTTTTAATGTTCAGATCAAGGATCTTTAAGTTCTGAAAAGCTGTTTTCAGTTTATGGTCTCTAGTTGCTTTACAAAGCCACTATGTTTTGAGTGTTAACCTATCATTCATACTAGATCTGTGAGGTAAATGTCTCCAATGTGCTTCTGTATACACTGTAGCCTATGTATATAAGGGAAAACTGATTATACCAAGCAAATCCTAAGTTCTCTAGAAGATCTCTACCTTGGGAGTATTACAAGTTGGGTCTATGACATGTCCAAAAAGAATGCTATTCCTAAGTGTTATCTGGAGCAGTAGATGTTGACCAAATCTGTGCTTTACAGTTTGCTGCTGAGCTGGAAGATGCAAGAAGTTGAAACATTCCAGTTAACTTTTCCAGTAAATGAAGCAAGCACTGAATAAAATCTTCCTGCACTAGGAACAAAGCTCTATGGGCAAACATGCTGTCCATACCATGCCTTATCTTCTGTGAAGGAACCAACTGACTTTTTCACCATTCAACTACTATTGTACCCTACTGTCAGATAATACATGTTGCCTCTACTTGTAAATGTAAAATCTTTAAAATAAACTATTGCAGATACGTTGCAGTGTTTGTTGTCTCTTGAACCTTGATGAGAATCAGTCTTAAATAAGGATCACTTCAACAGCAAGATAGTGATTCTCAAGTTTGCCTGCACACTACAATTCTCTGGAAGTTTAAAAAAGATACTACTGCCCAGGTGCTGCCCCAGGGACCCTGAACTAAATGGCCTGATGTACAGCCCAGGTATGGAAACTGTTAGAATGAAGAAGAGTGTAGTATGCATCCGTGTTTGATAATTATTGAAACAAAAGAAATCGACTCAATCCTGCTTAGCCCAGCGTTGTAATAAATACCACCCAAGCCAAAGGCTGAGCACTAATTTGTATTTTCTCCTTCCTCATCTTGTGTTCTAACCTTGACTAGTCTGTCTTTCAGACTTCTAGTTGGAGTTAAGAATATTCTAGGTTGGTCTTTCTAGACCTTAAAAAAGCTGAAGAAATGTCTGTGTGAGTTGGAAACAAAAAAGCAGGAACGTGTAGGGCTCTCTGTGATCCCGCTTCTTCTTGCTCTTTGACTTCCCCTCCGTTTCCTTCCCCTACTCACTCTAGCCAACACTCACTGCTTCTTCTTGTCCCTCAATCATGCCAGGCACACCCCAGCTTCCTTGTGTTCTTGCTGACCCACTGCCTAACATGCAGATACCCTGAAAGGCACACGATTTGTTCCCTCAGTTGCTTTAAATCCCAACTCATGCACACCCACCTTCACAGCACATGACTCCATCTGACACTGCTTGTCTGTCCACCTCTTGCCCCACTGCAAGAAGGCAGAGTCCTGTTTCATTCTTCATTCACTGCAGAATTTCCATGTGCCCTTTGCTATCTATTCTCAACTATTACAAGACTGGCAGTCAATACATGAAGTTCCTTGTCTTGGAAGGAAGTAAGGAATACTAGACCACTTTAGTGTAGTTCAGAGAAGCATTCTTCCTTCTGTAATTCTATTTATATATGTAGACAAGCCTGACTTTAAGCATCCAAGTCTACCAGCATGGATCTGACCATTTGAAAGCTTCGGTTTTTGATAAAGTCAAACGTACATAAGCAGTCTGAGACCAGTAGGCTTCAAGCCTCCTAGAATGCTGTGATCACAATATGCCATAACTAGGGCTCATATATCGAGGTGATTATGACATGCCTTAAAGAATCTTGATTTGCAGTTTTTTCAAAAGGACCTAAGACAAAACTTTTAGTCAACAAATATAAAAATGTATTAAGTGAAAAATATGATTTATTAGAACATCCATTGATCTTTATTTGATTTGACAAAATCTGCATTATTAAAAGACAAGTAACAAAATTTGAGCTTATACTGAATCGGACAAGTTCTCATAGTTTCTAGAATATTTAAGAAGCATCAACTGAGAAAGAAACAAAAAGGATCACATGCAGATGCTCCTGGCAAAGGGGAACTATATCTGCAGGTGAAGTCCACAGTATGCAACGCATAAAGGAAAACCTAGAGGAAATGCTATTAGCTACTCGGGTAAAATAGGTTTCCTTTTGCGGGGAAGAGGGGGTGATAAAAAGGGGAGGAATTCAAAGGCATACACAGAATGGCTTCTCCATTCCAAATTAGTAATAAAAATATTTAAATCATGGCACTAGGGCACCTTTGAGGAAAAGAACATTTTAACCAGAGTAGGCTTGTTGCATAATTCTGTAGTAATATGTACAATTTTCAAGTAATGAAGCAGAATTAAAGAATAATTTCATTTTAACAGTGGCTATCTGTTTTTCTTCTCGCCTTCTGATGTTGAATCTGTTTCAGTATCACAGGGACATTTTTCCACACAGTTCCTAGGGAACCATCCTCTTATTCTTGACACACCTGAGGGAGAAAATTAAATTGAGATGCAATAGTATGATATACTACAATGACATTACTGGCACTAAGAAATCCTCTTACTTCAAATTAATAACGCCCCTATATACCCTTTTCACATATACACAGCTTAAGGAGGGGGAAAAGTATAGTTTAGAAATGCTCCCAACAAGATAGAAAACAGACAGTTCCCAAATTCCATTATTTGGGAAAGGGATGAATGTGGTTCAAGACAGCACCCAACTGGAATATTCACTTCTAAAGTATTCACTTACACGTGTATGACTGTAAAAGGTGTTTTGGTACACCACTCACTATATCTCTTCCAGGGAACAAGCTCCCTATAGCCTTTGGGACTTCCCTCCTTAGACTTTTTCTAATATATACACCATGACTGCCTAAGCTGCCAATGGGGTTAATTTATGATTAACCCCCAGTGTTTTAAAAAGAGTATCTTGGGTTATTTTTACTTTAGAAAGAAATAATTCTAAAAAAAATTTTTTTAAGAAGAGAAAAAGACCAAGAAAGTTTCAGTCTGTTAGTTTTTATAATCACAAGAGGAATACTCACTCGAAGGAGAAGTATATAGTACAGGGGTTTGGTGCGTAGAGTCTAGTCAGATTGCTTGGGCTTGTGCCCTGGCTGTACCTGTTTCTACTGTGTGGCTGTGGACAAGCTACTCAGCCTCTCTGTGCTTCAGTTCCCTCACCAAGGAAATGTAAATGACAGCACCTACCTAAGAGGTCTGTGGGGGACTTTAATACTATAAGAGAAGCACTTCCACACATGCCTGTCATATAGTTAAGCAGGAGCTCACATCTAAAGACCTGATAAGTACAAGTACTATGGAGAAAGACATGAGCTTTTTGTTGTTTAAGCGGGAGCCTTCCTGTGCAGTTCTCTGAATGCATCTGATTTTCAGTGATTATTTACAAAAGTAATTCTGGTAAAATTTGGAATTATTGCCAGTAGTCTTGTACTTTAAACATAGCCTTCCATTTCCATACCTTCTATAAAGGAATCATCAAGAATTTTGTCTCCATATAACCAGTATCTGAAATATTTAAAAGATTAAGTTTAATTTTTAGGCTAGACATTAATTTTGTCATTAAAAGAGAAACGTGCTATTTTCTATCACTCACCGTAACCCTCTTGTGGCTAAAATGAACTCCCCTTTGTGTAGCTGTATTCGAGGTTCTTCGGTGCAGGGGCTCGTGAAGAAGGTTTTGATTCCTCTATTTAAAGGACAGCAGGCACCACTATAATCTTCTATTACCTTATAGCGAACCTGTCGCCAGCAATCAGAAGAAAAAACAGAATTATTTACCCACAATATGAGTTCTCTTATGTTTGAATTTAAGCTTTTCATGGTAGACTCCAGTGTTCAGTGCCCAACCTCCCCTTTTAGTGCTGTATTGAACCTGTTTCCCTGCAGGAAGCAAGTGATCTTCCCTTTTTTTCTTCTAGTTAAGTGTTCTTCTAAAAATAAGAGTTTAACTTTTTATTAGTAGGTTTTTGCATTACATAATGTCTACGTTCCTTGTGTGGAGCTGGCCAGCCCGAACTGCACGCTGAGGCCCATACTCCGGTGCCTGTGCATAACACAGCTTACTTCCTTCTTTCATTCCCTCCTGCTCCTCCAGAGGTCACACCCTCCCTCTCTTGATCCCATCTTATCTGAGAAAGATCCATCGCCCTACTTCCTCTTATTTATCTTTTATTTCACTTTCTATTTATCATATGGGTTTCTCATCTAAGAGAAGCCATGCAATATGTAGGCTTGTGTGTCTGGTTTCTAATTTCAGGCATTTGTTAGCCCTCATTTCAAGCAGACAGTTGCTAAGAATTAAATTTCAGAGCAGTTCTGTCGAAGAGAACTGTCTGTAAAGATGGAAATGTTCCATGGTTCTACATCTGTGATACTCACTGGGTTGCCACTGGACATAAGGAGCTACTAAGCACTTACAATGTGGTCAGTACAAATAAGGAACTGAATTTTTAATTTTATTTAATTTAAACTTAACTAGCACCTGTGGCTAGTGGCATCATATACAACAGCAGGGGGCCGTAAGGATAGGTTTTTCCTTAACAATCTATATTAGGGGTAACTATGTTTTTAGGTTGGCAATATACATTAACTAAATTCCCTCGATTCCAAACTATTCATATGAAAACAAAAGTAAACTCCATTTGATTTCAAAAAAATTTATTAAAGAATATTATTTAATAAAAGCCAACCATTGGTTTCTACTCAAAGGCAATTTAAAAATTTATACAGAAGTATCCAGCCTGGTAAAAAAAAATAAATCAGCAATATCACTGTAAAAAATTTACTTACACTTCTGACTCTTTTATCTGCTTTTTGTTTCAACTGTTCTATCTGTTTGGAAGATAGAAAAGAAAAATATTAAGCCCTTAATATTGAAAAACAACCTACCGTCCTCTACTTTGACTGTGACATACGAACACCTGATTTTCCAGAGTTTCATAATGTTAACAATTAAAAGGCCACAGGTGGCCTTTTCCTTCTAGCATGGAAAGAAGGCCTGTGGCTAGAAACCAAGGGCTAAAAATGGGGCTTTTTCCTCAGATCTCACTCTCTAATATCTTCATCAATGCACATTTTTAGAGCACTCACTGTGGCCTGAAAACCAGGGAGATGCGTTCTCTGCCCTCATGAAACGTCCCGGCTAGCAGTGCCCAATGCAAAGAGGCTGGGATGTACTGAGTCTCTAACACAGCAGACGAACTGCGAAATTCACTACTAATGAGTCTTGACTAAGTCAACTTTTAACTCCTTTTCCTCCTTAGTCAGCAACTACGAAACATACTATACTAGACACAGTAAGGGAAATAAATATCATACATGGTCTCCACTCTACAATCTTCCAAATTTAAATTAAAGACATAGGGAATAAGAAATAAATAAAAATAGGAGACCTCATAAGCTATAATACAGTGGAATACGACTAGAGCCCTATGCAGACGAGCTCAGAGTGGGTAGGCTAGGTTACATGGAAGAGGAGGGATTGGACATCGTCTTAAGGACAGACAGAAAAGTCACATGAGATAGAGAAACATATGGGCAAAGTTGGGCGGCAAGAATGTACAAAGAAGTTCATACGACTCTGTAGCTTGGAAGTTAATTTTCGGCCAGATTCTGTACGACTAAGTCGAGGTGTCAAGACTTTACCAAAGAGGTCTGGGGGTTTTAGGAGAGGGATAAGTACAGAAGACTCAGGATATAAGTACTTTATGAATATTAACTTACATTCATTTTGAAATAATGAAAACATTTACATTGCTTATGTTACTGTAAAATAACACTGAGTTAAGGAAAAGTTATGGAGTGGAAGGTAAGGCAAAAAGAAAGGACTATTCAGATAAAAATACTCACTGTCAAGCTGTACTGGTGACACCCTTCTCTTATGGGCCACTCCAGTCCATCTCCTTCAGGAACCCCTGACCATGTAAATACCTGTTTAAAGTTCTTCCATCTACTTCCCATATCGTAAGGAAAAAGAAAGACTTCATCTAGTTGGTAATACTGAATTCGATCTTTAGCCTGTAGGCAACAAAGATGTAAGATGGCACATACCCTCACTTTAAGGTGACTTTCAGTAATATATTACTGAGAATGCTCATTCCTTAAATTTGTATCATGCAAATAAAAGTACTTTTTCCTTGCTATAATGTTATAATATGTCACAATATGCAGAAGAGACACAGCTTTATCACAATATATGGAGAACTTGATATAATACAAACTTGGTATGTGATCGCCCAGAAAATACTTGGTATGTGATTACCCAGAAAATAATAAGCACTCTTCCAGGCATGATGGTGCATGCCTATAATCCTAACACTTGCGAGGCTGAGGCAGGATTACCATGAGTTCAAAGCCAGTCTGTGCTACATAACGAGACCCTATCTCAAAACAACCAAAAAAACCCAAACCAAACCAAACCAAAGAAGAATAAGCACTCAAAAATGCTTACTAAAAGAGCTAGCTAAATTCATCTCATAGGAAAAACTCAATGTTCCTGATTGTTTATAGCCGCACAAAGGGATTCAGGTAAAAATAATGATAAATTGATTCAGGATAAAGTACGATTTTATTTAGGATGGCACTGTTTTACTCATGGGGTAGCGCAATAGTTTTATCCTGGATGGCACTGACGCCTGTGGGAATGGTGAGAAAGGGCACAGCGGGGGTCAATGTTTCAGGAAAAACACCTTTTCAAAAGCCAGCAGACATGTGTAGGATGTCTTTCAGTTTTTTATACCACCACACACACATACACACTCATTTACATTTGCATTACATGTACCTGTTAGGCATAAAAATAAGTATTTACCATAAATTATACTCTAGGCATTTAAATGGTTAGCTCTAACTTAAGGAAACAGACTGGCTTCATATTTCCTTAAGTTCTGCTGACACCTAGTGGTACACAGATACATTATTTATTCCAACAATAAGCATAAACTGTTGAAACCTGTAAAACTTTAGTGGGATAATTTCTGTAAACTTTCCATACATTTAATATGACAATTTCAATTTTTTACTCAGAAAAAAGGGGCCAATTTTACCATAACTTTTAGATTTAGCACGATACCTTTTAGAGAGCCTTGGTCATTGCAAAAAAATGTTATTCTAATGTTAATATATTTATTATGCTTAGCAGAAGTGACACTTTGAAATACTCAATTATCAAGTTCAGTATTTTATGAAAAAGGTTCTTCTTATTATTTATGATTATGAATGTTATTCTTTATTAAAAGAATTGCCAAACTGTAAAATGAATTTATTCAATTGTTTCATTTTATCCTCAGTAAAAGACAATTTCTTTTCTTTTTTAAATGAAAGCTTTAGAGTCTTAAAAATGGACTGAATTTTTTAAAAATACAGCTTTAGGCTATTTATAGAGAGAAACTGGTAAGGATGAAAGTGATATTACTATGTGTTAAGAGGTGACAGAGGTATGTATTGCTATGCGAAAAGGCAACAAAAGTGCCTAGCTACTGGGCGTGGTGGCTCACACCTGTAATCCCAGCACTTGGGAGGCTGAAGCAGGAGGATCATTGTGAGTTTGAGACCAGCCTGGGCTACAAAGTGAGGTCAAGGACAGCCTGAACTGCATACTGAGACCCTGTCTCAAAAAAAAAAAAAAGTGCCTAGCCAAGTCTCTAGAAAAAGCCAAAGAAAGTTCCTTGTACAAAATGATACCTAAACTAAATTTGAGGGGCAAAATAAAACAACATGAGAAGAAAGAGTATTCTAGACAAGGAGGATAACATAAGCAAAGATACAGAAGCATAAGATGAACAAACCACAAGTGTGAGATGGGGTGGAGGAAGGGGAAAAGAGGCAGGGAGGCAGGGAAGGGGAAGTGATGAAAGGTTGTGGGTATAAGCTAAATAGCCTGGACATAAATCCATACATCAGAGCCTCTCAAAAATGCTTCGTAGGCTCCTATAGTCCCCAAGACTTTTCCTGAAGTAATACACGGTCAAACTATTTTTATAATAATTCTAAGATATTATTTGCCTTTTTCAGCATGTTGACATTTGCAAAAGTGGCTAAATTGTTGATTCGTTAGATGTAATTAAGCCAATGGCAGCATACTGTATTAAGTCATTATATTCATCACCAGTTGTTTGCATTCCACATCCACAGATGCCATATCCATGGACATGAATAAAAAATATTAACAAAATAAAACTGCTTCTACACTGAACATGTACAGAAATTTTTTCTCATCATTTCCTAAATAGTACAGTATATGTAACAACTGTTTATATAGCATTTCATTACACTGAGTTTTTTTAAGTAACCTAGAGATAATTTAAAGTACACGGGAAGATGTGCTTAGGTTATATGCAAATACTTTGCCATTTTATGAAAAGTACTTGAGCATCTACAGATTTTATTTTATTTTATTTTTTATCTACAGATTTTAATACCAGAGTAATTCCAAAACCAACCCCTGCAGGTATTCAGGAAACAACTGAACATACTTACAGTTTTTAAAAAGCCAACAATTTTCTATAAGAATGTTGCGGATAAAGCAGTAAAAATTATTATTTTTATTAAATCTCAAATCTTTGTTTTTGGAGACAAAGTCTCACTATGTAGTTCAGGATGGCTTGAATTCACTTCATAGCCCAACCTGGCCTTTACTGTCCTACCTCAGCTTCCCCAGGGCTGGGATTATAGGCATGCACCACCACATTCAGCTATATCTCAATTTTACACATACTTTTGACATTCTATATGACAAAATGGGAAGGAGACATAAAGCATGCCAAAGCAGAATGGTTTTCTCAGGAAAAACACTTGAGCTGTGAATTAACAAAAATAGCTATGCAGTCATTTATTTTTTAATGTAATTAATACTATTTTTACTTGAAAGAATGAATAATTAACAAAGGAAGGTAACTCAGACTTCAGAATTTTGTGGGCATTTTCTCAGAAATGAACAAAATCAGGCTGTCACTTCAAAAGAAGCACTAACAGTATGACGGTACTGGAGGCTGAACCCATGAAGTGCTAAGTTATATCCCTAACCCTTTTTATCTTTTTAACTTTGAAACAGGATCTCAGTAAGTTGCCCAAGATGGTCATGAACCTGTGATAGTCCTGTTATAGCCTCTTAAAACAGCTGAGAATAGAAGCGTGTACCCCTGCATGGAACTTGAATGGGATTTGTGAAAACTAACAACATTTAGAAAATCTTAGTAACAAAGTAAACCAGCACCTTCCAAATGATCAATGCATGATAATATGAAAAAGATCACAAATTTTAAGGTAAAAAGTATTAAAGTTTATTGACAAAAAATGTTACTTGTTTCATTTTAATGTAGGATCAAAGAATACCCATTGTTATGGTTTGGGTCTAGATGTCCCCCCAAAGCCTCAGGTGGTCATAGGTGGAGCTTTTTCAGAAGTGGCTGCTTTTTCAGAGTGGGTGATGCTGGGATTAAGGGTGTGTGCTACTCAATCAGTCCACTGATGGGTTTGGCACAACCTTAAGCAGCCTAGATACAAAATAAAGGAGGCAGAAAGATACCATTAAGGTCCCTTGTTGCTCTGCGTGCCATCAACTGTTCTCCTCTGTGAAGCCACCATGCCTTGGAGCCAGCCTACTGTGGACAGAAACCTCTATAAACTGTGACCTAAATAAACCTTTATCTCTTTAACTGGCTGTCAGGCATTTTGTCTCAGTCACAAGAGAAAAGTAACTAAGATACCCATTTTCATCTAAAGGCTTATTAAAATGCTCTATCCTTTTCTACCTACTTATCTTTATGAGGCTGAATTCTCTGCATAAAACTTCAACCAAAGCAACATTTTTCAATAGACTGAATGGAAAAGTATATGTGAGATTCCAGCTGCCCTAAGTGAGATATTAAAGAGATTTGTAAAAATATAAAAGAAGAACACTATACTTTTTATTTGGAAAATATAATTATTATTTTTCATA